AAAAGGTTGAGAAATGGGGAACGACATGCATGTCAAAAACGTGCAAGGACTAATACATATTATATAAATTTAAAGTTGCTGGAGCCTTTACACAATAAAGTTGACGGTGCAGAATAACGTGTGAAGGCCTCACCCTTCACGCAATAAAGAATGGGAAAAACATGAGTCAAGGCCTCTTCACACAATAATAAAAATTAAGGTGTAAAGTGGGTGGTCACAGCCCCCTCTGATCTGCCTATGGGGACTGGTGAGATTAAAATTCATCTTATTTTCAGCTCGCCACCAAACTGGTTGATATTGATGATTATTCAGGAACTTTTGTTTGTTAATTTGTTTTTTTTAACATATGTCTTCCATTGGCAGAGGCAGCAGCATCCACAACAGAGATGTGCCTGGAAAGATTGATTCTGCTTTAGCAATGGGAGTGATAGGCTCATCATTTTCGCCTAAATTTGGGCTAACACACACACACACACACACACACACACACACACACACACACACACACACACACACACACACACGCGGGCGCGCACATAGACTTACCAGTCCACATTGTTGTATTTGTTGTGGGTGAAAAGCAGGGATCTGGGAGAGGGAGGGGGTGGCCTTGGAGAAGGGCTACCGTTGTCATGACGATGATCACAGGGTCGCCGTGACAGGGAAGTTTGTGGAAAGGAAGCAATTCACTGAAGATTCCTTCTTTGCACATGCGCACACACACGGTGAAAGAAAAGCTTTTGTTGGCGCTGTCACAGGATGGTGGAGAGAAGAGGCGGGGCCATCGCAGGGATTCATGAAGGCAAGATGAACGTTTTATCAGTTTGATCACGTCAACACTGAAACAAGCGGACATGTTTCTTTATATGCGGTGGGGGATTTTTTGTTGTTTGTTTTTTTTTTTTTTTTTATCGGGGCGCGTGGGAAAGTTCCAGTCTGAATGACTGGAGAGTCGAAGGTATCCTACACGGACCCGCTGACGCCCCCTGGTGCTCGATCAAATCCCTTACAAATTCATCAACAAACTGAGGAGTTCACCCAGGTGTTTTCCAATCTTGATTGAGCCAACGCACCTGTATTGACTGCACTCAAATGCAGGATGCCATGAGTGGAAAAAACGTGTTTTTTGATGCAGGCAACAGCATTTGACAAGTGTTTCACTACCACCATCTGCTGGATGGATGGATAAACTGCATACATACTGTCAACACCGACTTTTGTTAAATTGCATTATTTTCCACTATAATTCAAGACATATAATGCAACAACATTAATAAACATATAAGCAACTAAATATTTCCTATTAAAAAAAAGTAACACAATCTAACATGCAGTTCAATTTACTCAAATTAACATTCCTCAATATATCGTGGTTTTCACATTGTTTCTGTGTGGTCTTGCTGCATTGTCGGTGTCGGTGTTGTAGGATCATGTGAGATTTGTTTATTGTCAATAGCAGTACCTGCTATTAGACTTGACTTGAGAAGTAATTGCTGGGCTGGTGTCCCCACCATCACCACTCTGGTTCTCCGAGTTCCCAACAGTCATGTCCGGCACTTTTCATCATTTATGACAAGTTTAGAGTATCAAAGCTTTCACCAGGCCCAAAAAGTGTGTAAAATTTCGTACAAGTATACAGTAGATCCCCAAAAAATCAGATTTATTTTGGTCAAGACAAAAAAATAAGTAGAGCAGAGAAAAAGGGCGCTCACTGCCCTGGCAACGTTGGAATACTGGCATGATGGAATTTGATTTTTTTTTTTTTTTTGGAAGCACATCAAATTGAAAGCTACAGTATTTTGATAAAATATCTATAAAATGCGAAAAATGAGGGAAAATTTGAAAGGAAATTAAAAATGGCTAACTTCGTTTTAAATTTAGAGTCAGGCAACTTTTGGTAAATCTTGGTGAAACTTTCAGTGAGGGTTTTTTGTTTTATGTTTTGTGGGGGGCGGAGGGACAGGACCAATAAAACCAATAACATGGTGATTACTTTGCAAAGCATGGTGTGTATGCCAAGTTTCATACGTTATAACAAATGTTAAGACCATCAAAATCAGGCTCATTTTTCTTCGAAGACAGTGTATCACTCAGCAACAACGTTGGATGAACCATTGTTTCAAGACAACCTGATAAAATCTCTAAAAGGATTTCTATAAAATGTGACCTCTATAAAAGCCAAAAATTGAGGCCAAATTTGAAAGAAAATTCAAAATAGTGGATTTCCTGTTTGGTTGAGAATATGGCTCCAAGAGACTTTTTTAAAAGTGCTGTTACAAATGCATCCAACTTTTTGTAGATCTTTCAGATTCAGATTCAGGAAACTTTATTCATCCCCGTGGGGTAATTTGGACTGAAACAACATGCTCTGCACAAGAAACATGAAAAACAAAGACGAACATGGGATACAGTGCAAAGTACCTGTCGGTACTCGCCGTATGCACAGCGCCCCAAGATCTTAGTTGAGAAAAGTAAACACTAGGGAAGGAGGGGAAAAAAAAACCATGCTCGAACTATCCTCTTCTGAGGATAATTTAAGTCTGGGAGAAAAAAAAATAAAAATAATAATTTCCCTGCACATCAAGCATATGACAGTTGCAACAAGTCACAAGACATAACATGTGATGAGGGGGGGGCGGATGGATGGGGGCGGGGGGGGCGCGACGCAGACC